TCGCAGATCAGTGAGGAAGAGTGAGTGTCACGATTAAAGAAAAAATCAAATCTTCATCTTTTCCGTTGAAAAACTCAAGTGGCGGCACTCTCTCTCTCTCTCAGCATTAATTGTGCCCCAATATGCATTTAATGCTGTGATAAGGGTTATCGTTTCAGCATGTCACACATTTAATGTTCTAATAAAGTGGTACCGTGTCAGCATACAACACATTTAATGCACCTGGCTGGCACTTATCATGCACAGGACACATCTGTCAGCGCAGAAGCTGATTCATTAAATGCTCCCATACCTAAAGTACAACAGGTAACGCCTGACGAAGTCAGGTCGCTCATCCTCTACAAACAATGACCATGTGAGGTTGTGTTTGCAAAAAGTGCTACCCGACCTACTTTCAAACAGGTCGGAATCGCCAGAATTTCCAGAAATCATCCAATCGCGGCATGACTTATAGTTTCCAAAGTTCGATCCTCAAACCCTAAAAACTAGGGGACTTCTGTTATGCCTGAAAAATATAGGGCTGACGTAAGGTCTAGTTAGCGTGCAAAAGTCAGAGCATGGGTACACCCACTGCCGAGTCACGTGAGGAAAGGGGTAGCCTGCTTCTGTCAGAACAGTAGGTGCGCGCCAGACCAGCCAGAAGTTGTGGTGATCCCACGTGTCCCATCCCTGCTCCAAATCGCGTAAATCACTCTAGAAGGTGGGCAATGTGACATAAAGAAGGATTTGCACGGATAATCCCACCAACTCACAGATTCAGTAATCATTAGCTCAATGTATCCCACTATAAATTGAGAGCTCATCTCTCATTCAAGGGATTCACTTATTTTTACTCTTGATTAGCCTTTCACTCTCTCTCTATAATTTATAGCATTCACTCGCTTGTACTATCATTTGTAAATCAGTCAGCTAATGCGACCTAACCCCTATCATTAATAAAATCACAGTAGACGTAGGACTTGCTTCCTTAGCATCCGAACCACTTTAAAAACGCTTTTCTCATTGTATTTATTCTCTTTTCCTTATATTCATGTGTCTTCTGGGTCAGCTCAACATTTTACACTTGCGTTTCGTTGGTATAAAAATCGCGCATCAACAGTTATCTTTGCAAGTTTAAGGAGTGAAATGGTGTTTTATTTTAATGATATTTGTCATTTAATTATTCGATAATGTGATTCAATTATTTTGTTTAATGTTAAAATATATTTTCTTTATCTTAAAAGAAATTGTTTGAATGTTATATGATTGATATTTTAATGCAATGAGAAAGCAAGTATATATAGTTGTAAAGTAGGAGAGAGTTTTCTATCTTACTCTCAGGTTGTAAGATGCAATCTTAAAATTCTTAATAAATATAATAACGACAATAAACTATTAAAGTATTATCGTGGTTTGCGGAAATTAGGAATACAAATACCTGAAATAGTATTTATGAAAAATTAATACATATAGTTTTTAGGATTATATATGAAGCCTTGTGAGAAAAGCCTTATTTATTTATTATATCTAATTCTAGTTATTGACTAATATATATATTACTAGACAGAAAAAGATATATTTTGTTCATTAAATTTGTAGTAGCTGTATTTATTTTATTTGCATTTAAAAGAAATTGTGAATGTTATTGACTCATATTTTAATGCAATGAGAAAGCAAGTATATGTAGTTGTAATTAAAAGAGAGTTTTTCTTTTACTCTAGAATGTACAATTCAATCTTAAAATTCTCAATAAATATAATAATAACAATAAAAGTATTACCGTGGTTTCCAGAAATAAAGAATACAAATACCTTAATTATTTATGAAAAATTAATACATAATATTTTAGGAATTTAAATATTTATATGGAGCCTTGTGAGGAGAGACTTATTAATTTATATATCTGATTCTAGTTATTGAGTAAATATATATCACTAAACAGACAAAAGAAATATTTTTGTTCATAAACTTTGTAGTAGCTGTATTTATTAATATCATATTATAATTGTAAAATATCTAGTTCATGAATTTTATTTCAAGAATTTAAATTTGTTTAAACCAAATTGAAATACATGTTTTATGCTCTAACTGGTTTTCAAAGAATCCAACTCGAACAAGTAATAGTGTAAGTAAATGTGTTTTTTAATAGCTTTTTATAATTATTTAAACATTGTTTTTAATCTAATATACCAATACATGTTTACATATCCAAATTCATCGATAATAAGTAAAAGTTTTTGACATCATTTCATTTTTTTAAGATTTTATTACGTTGTGAGTATTAAATACCGAGCTAAGACAAGGACCCGTAATAGAACTTGTCTGATACTAATTAAGTACTGTTATAACATAATAATTTTTCAATTACATAAATAAACTATAACCCTTTGTTTTTTTTTATATATAATAGTTATTATCATCTGATAACATAATACATCGATATATAATGAAATTTTTTAGATACAAATATCTTATATTTTTTTCTTAAATCCGGACCAAGTTTTTTACATAAGAAAAACCGTCAAAATACAAAAGTCTATGAAATTTCATGTTATAAGAAATTACAAAATTATCTTTTACAACATTTCTCATATAACATTTTCTTAATATAAGCGTATCGCGTATGTTGGATAAAGTTTAGTAGTTTGTACACATTAATATAGCGTATGCAAGAATGAAGTTATAGCTAGTTAGTCAAAGCATAAAATGGCAAAATTTAATTAATTGAGACACAAAAAAGAAAAAATCCCGAGGCGGTCGTTGGTAACACGTTGTTCTATTACTAATTTCTTGTTAAATGTTTTTTGTTAATACTTGAACATTAATTAAGCAGTTAAAGCTAAGCTAAGCCACAATTTGTATTGCTTTACAGTTTGTGTTTTGGACAGTTTGGCAAGTGGGGTGAGCTGAGGTCTCTTCATGATCAAATATTAGAAAAAATGACACAATGATATTGATGATTGGGACCGACAAAGACTCTTATTACTTTTGTTATTGTTCAGTATGCAAAATAATATTGAATAATTTCTGAGATCAATTCAATCGAATTGCAAGGTGAAATAGGGATGGCAAAACTTCTATTGGGTTGGATATTCGGAAAAACCCAGTTTTGTCGAGTTGAAAATCCTAAAAATCAAGGGTTAGAGGCTTGATCTGTCTAAGTGTCTCCTTCGTGTTACATGCAAAGAGGTTATTAGACTTAATATAAATGTTTAAGCTTTTAAATCAAATAATTTTTTAAACTATAAAATGGTTATGTAATGCACTAGTAAAAAAAAAAGTTTTACTAATCACTTGGTGTATGGCCAGATGACAAGACTTTAGTGTGAGTTACCTAGAGATCTTGTGTTTAAGTAAGTCCCACAAAAGATCACCTATCATATTTAAACTTATCTGACTCATTGGACTTAAAAGTGTTCAATGGACTTAAAAATTAGTTGAGGTATGCACAAATGGCCTGGACATCTCGATTAACAAAAAAAAAAAAAAAAAAAAAAAAGGTGTTTACTAGATGAGTACATTATGAAACATTAGATTGGCAAAAAAAAAAAAAAAAAAAAACTTAGTGCTGATTCAATAAATCTCCAACTGTTTCATGTACTAAATAATGTTATTGAATGAGTGACATAATAATTTCTATTGTTAAACTACCCATAAATTTTGAACATAGTTTTGTTAACTCTCTGGATAAGTAATTTTGAAGCATGCGTATGTCAAGTATTGCTCTATTTGTTAATGCAAAAAGCTTAGTGTTAATATAAAGTTATTTTAGTTTATGGAGTGATCATACTATCTAAAGTTTACGTCAATCTCAATAATTAAATACACGATTAAAAGTAGCTTTAAAAATTGAAGAATTAAAAAAATTACAACGTGAAATATTAGTACTTATTATATATTCATCTGCATATCTTAAAAGATTTAGTTTGTCCCTTAATGTATGAGAATTAAAAGTTTGTTTAACAACAAATCTTTAATTATGTCGTATTAGAAATGAGATTAAGACTATAATTCCACAAAAGATTAATTCATGTCTTCTAATTATACACCAATTAATAGATCTTAAAGCACATGTGTTTTCAAAACCCTAAAGAAACAAAAATGAATACTTCCAAAGAACCCACTAATTAATATCCTTTCTTTATAATTTTTGTATCACAATTATCACATCATATTTATATCCGTATGATTAAATTAAAATTTCATACCTTCCTCAAAATATAATTTATTAAACTTTTATCCTTATAGTCGGATGATAAAACCTTTAACTACTGCAGTCAACTATAACCAGAGAGTATTATGTTAATACCTACCATATTTATGCAATTATTTTGATCCGCCGGACTTGTAGGGTGTATGAGAAGCAAACTGAAAACTTATCTTAGTAAGCAAATTAAGTTGAATAAATGAATAATTAACACTCTAAAAAATTCATAAACTCACTTTTGACAACCGATGAAACCGCTGCAACTTGTTAATTGTTTTCTTGACATAACAAATCGATCATCTTCTGATGATTACAAGATAATTAATCTCTCGGATTTATGAACAAAATCCAATGCTGATAATTAATTAATTAAGCTATATATATATATAATGAAATACCCTTTTCACATCTTGGTTACCGAGTTCTCATATAATACATGAACTTTGGATACTTAAAAATCCTTGGATCGATCACAAACTATTTTTCCATGGTAAAACTGAGAAAACCCTAATGCCAATGTAGAAATCACATGCATGCACGTTGCTTGTCAATATCAATTTCATTTTCAGATTAATATAACTTAAAAAAGAATGTTGAAAACACCTTGAAGCATGTGAACAGCCTCATAAACCTCTTCTTCCGCCACTCGGTAACTTGAACAAAATTCAAGCAAACTTTTCAAACTTTGTTAAATAATTAATATTTCTAATTTTTTCCAGCTCAGGGTTCGTGGCCAACCCTAAAACCCTAGTCTATATAAAGCTAAGCTCAGATATGTGCAAGATTGTGATATAATTTAATTGGTGAAATTAGGGTTTCATTGTGGGAGAAAGAAAAGGAAAACGAAAATGGAGAGAAGTGATGAAAGGTTTTTTATTTTCATTCTCCCACTGGTGGTTCTTGCACTGAGCTTGTGTGTGGCAAAGGTGGCGGATGCAGCGGTGTCGTTGCCGAAGCCGGTGAAGTTGGAATGGCATTATTATAGGGTTCAGAACACGTGTCGCGATGCCGAGGTTTATGTAAGGCACCAAGTGGAGTTGGTGTATAAAAATGATAAAAGTCTTCCGGCCAAGCTCCTCCGGTTGCTCTATTCCGACTGCTTTGTCACTGTATGTGTTTAATTTATGAGTTCTTGTCTTCTTTATTTGTTTACTTCTCATTTCTGTTTAGAGTACTTAATCATTCTCCATTCAGAATTTCTTCTGTAAGAACTACCTCATATTTATATATCTAAGTTTCTGTGTGGGGCTTTAACTTTTAGGCTAAGTGGATATTTCACATTTTTTAAGCTTATATCACTTAAAGAAAGTAAGTAAGAACCCTTCTTGTTTTGATTTGATTTGATTTTATTTTATTTTTAACTCTGAACCGACAAAGTTTTTCAAAAATCTGTGGTTGTTATTTTCACGTTTGCACATAAAATTTTTCATAAAAATGAATTCTTTTTTAGTGTTTTTATATGGGTAGGTAGAACAAGTATTCTGAGTCCTGAACCTTTTTTTTTTCATCGTCATTCCACAAAGTTCATTGGAGGAAATAGTTAAAGAGATGTTTAAACAAAATAATTAGTGAATTTAATTCAAGCTTGATGTTCAGGTGAATACTGAATACCAATTAATTAATGCAAACTTTTTACGGTTTTAGGCAGGCATGACTTAAATGTCAACACCAATAAATTTACAAAGCATATGGCTTTAGCGTGTACGTCAAGCAACCAAATCTCTCAAGAGTTTCTTAATAACATAACCATAATCCACGTGCTTAACATTCAAATTACGAGAAACTCAAAAAAAAAAAAATATTTGGCATTTTTTTTATAAAAATATTTCATGGATTGGTCTTCTTTCATTTTCAAATATCATATGACGAGAATTGTCTGTATACCTTTCTGATTGACACTCTTACTTGTGTGATCAATTTTATATGCAGGGATGTGATGCGTCAATTCTCCTGGATGGGGATTACTCAGAGAAAACCGCAAGACAAAATTGGGGACTTGGAGGATTCGAGTTAATTAATGATATCAAAACTGTTCTGGAAGACCGCTGCCCTGGAGTTGTTTCTTGTGCTGATATCCTCCACCTTGCCACCAGGGATGCCGTTCATATGGTACTTTTTTTTTAACATCTTAATTATTTTATTTTAAGTTCTTCTTTAATAAATTAGACCCATAAAAATATATACATGAAATGTTAAATTACTGATCCGATAACATTTCCGAACACAATACGAATGCATATCCATACCCTAAGAGATAATATTGAATAGGTTTGCAAAATCCTCATCAACCAAATTGTTGTACTTGATTTAGGTTAGTTTTGAGCCTTCCGTGTAAAACAATTGTAACATTTATTTATTAGAAGAGGACTTATATTTCTAGATTGTTAAATTCTTCACCTATTTTTGCCATTTAAGAGTTGATTACTGATTCATATTTTAATGAATCAACAGGCGGGTGCACCTGCTTATCCTGTATTCACAGGCAGAAGAGACGGTATGACTTCAAACAGCGACTCTGTGGACCTCCCATCGCCGTCCATTTCATTCGATGAAACTTTGTCATACTTCAAATCCAAGGGCTTAGATCTATTGGACATGGTAACTCTCCTAGGTAAGATGCTTCAACATCATGAAATAATGTCTTTTTTCAAGGAGATTTCATTGAAACACAGATAAATTCCCTTGGTTAGATCAGAATTTAGCTTAGCTAAGTTTCCGAACTAAACAATTCGCCGGTAAATAGATCAAACCTTGAAAATTTACCTCAATGGCGAAACTTGACAGTGGACAGTTTGAATCTCTGCTGCACTGCAGATCCTGAAAGCATATTAAGAAACTGAAAAGAAAATAAGAAAGAAAGAATTGCCTAAACTCCAAAATTGTCATGTTTTTCAACCAAAACTCTTCCAAGCAAGTTGAAAAACGGCTTGCCGGGTTTCATAGCAAGGAAAATCAACATATTCATCTGTCTTCTTCACTGACAATAACTTTTCTTACTCTATTTCAGGGGCACACTCATTGGGGAGAACATATTGCCGACACGTGGTAGACCGGCTGTACAATTTCAATAATACCGGAAAGCAAGATCCAAGCATGAACAAAACGATCGCAACCCAGCTGAAAGCCCTCTGTCCACCCAGAGTTAAAAAGGGCCAAAGCGACCCACTGGTTTATCTAAATCCAGCTTCAGGTAAAAGTTACAGTTTCTCCAACACCTACTACTCTAGAGTTTTATCCAGAGAAGCTGTCCTAGGAGTTGATCAACAGCTATTATATGGGAACAACAACACTCTTACAATCGTTAAAGAATTTGCTGCTGGTTTCGAAGATTTTAGGAAATCATTTGCTCTATCAATGAGCCGGATGGGAAGCATTAATGTTTTAACCGGGAAGCAAGGAGAGATCCGCAAAAGTTGTCGAGTCATAAATAAAAATTAATAAGTCCAGTCCAGTGACTCGATGATCAAGTCGGATTTATCATCATAAAATCAAAATATAAGTTCATTTACATGGAATTGTTTTTGTGCTAGGATACTGGAGTAATCCATAAATAAAGAAAAGAGGAAAAATCAATTTATATATTCACAAATAAACTGTCATGACAAAATCTTCAACTATGACAACTATTTTCTTCTTTACCTTTTTCGAATTATCTAATGCCTTTCATCTAATTATTCTCTTTTCCCGTACAATTTGCTCTCCAAATGTATTGTATAATAAAAACAAAAGGAAAAAAAAAAAAAAATTTGACAAATTGTGTTCCCCTAACCTGTTAAGAGTTGTCCACAGTAGCTATATGAAATGCTCAAGACCGGGGTTGCCCCAAAAAACGAACTTCTTTGCAATTGTCAATCCTTCCGCTGAGTTAAAGATGGAGGAAAAAGTTGAGGAAACAGCATAAACTATGGCATAAATGAGAAGCTAAACAAATATGGGCAACTTTAATCATGCTTTTAATAACATTTGCGCATACATTCATCATTCATAAAGAAGTGATACATGAAAGCATAAAACTTAGATGTACTCTAGTTTAGCATGCAAGATTTAAAGAACAAGTGGCAGGTGCGAGATCAAAGTGAACAAGACTATAAATTATTTTCAGTTCAAGAAATTTGGTTTTAGATGAATTTGTTGGTGTAAAAGCATATGGCATTCAGAATAATTTTACAGGATAACAGTTAACCTCAAAACTCTATCATAGACATTTATGCATGCACGTGTTCGAGAAGAAACAAGTCACATAAGAACAATTGGTGAAATGATATCTTTTATCCTACAGTCTTTCCAATTGTTAACGGCAACTTTTGATCTATGTAATTTAGTTTTCCCATCATCATATATAAGACTTGTATTCTTTCAGATTCAGAGAAAATAATGCTGCTACTTAATACAAAACAACGGCCAGGAACCAACTCTACTTACAAATAATAGCAAACTGAATTTACTTGAAGATGCCACTATTGAACCACAGATTATAAATAATTCAAAATTTGACATTTAGTCACTATTTACAGGAATAGTGTAAGAGCCAAATATTATCATTTTGCGATTCCAATGTAACCCCCATAAACTAATACATAAAAGTTCAGCCTGTCAGAAATTCCAGATTAGCTCAGCAAAAACAGCTACCAAAATTGTGAATTTTATACAATTCATTTACAATAAACATTGTCATTGCATAGAGGAATGGAGGCAGAGTGAGACAGTAACTACCTTGTTGAAGATGTGAGATGAGATACTGATGTACAAACAACTGGCATGACCTTCATCCTGCAAAGCACTTCTCTGAACTCCTCCATTGTGAAAGATTTAAATAATAAATTCCATCATGCCACACTTAATCTTGGAATCCAAGTGTCAGACCACGAACTTCGAGTTCCATTACCATGACTTTGTCCCATAGAAAGCAGGAAACAGCATAGCCTATTCACCATTCCGCACTGCATGACTCTTGATCTTTATCAACTGATTCAAAGAAAACTTCAGTTTACATAATGCAACAATCAAAGAAAACTATGGCACATAATGGTGACTAAACATGGTAGTGCCTCAAAAATCCATGGAAAATAGATGTTATTTCCATGTTGCTTCAAATGCAATGACTATAACAAATGCAGTCATTGACAATAAAAACATGCTTCACTATTGTCTCATCATAAATAGGTTTACTATGATGTAAGGCGCCACCATTGGTAAAGTAATGGCACATGCTTCTAGGAAAAGAACAAGCTTGAAGTTTATGAAATATAAGCTCTAAAGTTCCCATTGTTTTAGTACTTTTGAGATCGATGAAATAATTGTACGAGCACCTTACCTTGTAAAAGTATTTTTTCCGAATTTTGATTGCTGTGCGTATACATCTTTTTATATGTATCTCAAGCAGCTTATCATTGAAAATCTGCAATGTGTCAATATTTTAACACAAAACAAACTTTAGAGAATTTCACGTACAGATCAGAATAAAGAAGCAGTTGAGTCACTAATTAAAAGGCAGAGCAAGATGTCTGCATTTTACAGCTTACAAATCACTTTCCTACTATATTACTCAACTTTAATTTTAATGAATAAATTAAATCTGGCTAGACAGTTTTTGACCATCAATCATAGAAAAAGGCCTTCATCTCTACAGAATGTTATTGGAGAAGAAGCTTCTTCTAGTATCAAGAAAGCTCCACTTAGCAAGCAAATCATAGAAGGCAACAATGTATCAAATCAGAAATAAACTTCTAAACAATGAGATGATACCCAACTGACAACTCTATTGGCCATGTACAACATAAATTTCCTACATTGTTAGCTAGCCCATGCCGTGATGTCTACAGATGGTTCCACCATTGACCCAGGAAACGTTCCTGCCTTAATTAGGGTCTTAAGGGTTCAGAGAAAGAGGGGAAGACTACATCTAATTCTGTTCTCCCTATCAAATAACAGAAACCCGTCATAGAATAACCAGAAATACTACAGGTGCTTTTCAACCATGAATTTTGGAATAATACATATAAAATCCTAATAAAATATTGTACATTTAAGATTAATAATGTTATGATAGCAATTTAATTATTCAAATCTTAGAAAAATCATGTTTTCTATCTCAAAAATAAAAAGTGACAGAAAGACAGAGAAAAGAAAATGTTAGATCCACAAAGGCCCTGCTAAAGCCTAATTTAGAGGTCCCTTAAGATGGATGATGTGGTGATTGAGGCATTAAAGCTTTAGTTTGATCCACCCACCTCATAAGTTCACTACACTACCCCTCCCCTTCTGACAATTCTCACTTATAATTATCAACTTGTTATGAACTCTTGCTGTTTTCCTTCATACATAACAACCAAACATTTCCCCTATTTAGTTTTTCTTTATAATTTTATTGTTTATTTTGCATGCAATACTGAGTGTTTGCATTAGAAGAAAATTGAACTACAATCAAGTACTTTATAGCTAGAAGGAAAAACACATGAATTGTCAGCAATGCACCTGCCTTTATCATGTCATCAATTGAACGTGTTTCTTTCACAATTTTGTTACGGTTCAATATAAGAATTGCTGCCACACAAAACACAGGCAATTCGTCATCTCCACTTCCAGTTGATGAGACTACAGTGCAGTTCTGCAAGTGATGATTTCTTGACCAGAGATTCCTTGTCAAGCCACAAAATGGATGACCTGATGCTGATTTCACTCCAACATTGTCAGGCATGGAACCCTCCACATTTCCATTTTTTTGTTCTAAGCCACCCTTTAAATCAGTACCGCCACCATTTTCTGTGCTTTCTTCTCTAATTTCTGCATCAGACTCCCTTGGTAACCGTATAATCAAGGCTTCCAGACAGTTCTCCTCCAAATTATTGATCAAAGACATGTCAAAATCAGCAGCCCACATCATCTGCATCAAGGATCATTATTCTAAGTGAAGCTGAGTTATTAAAAATAGAATAAAATACAATAAGTATGTACATCTCCAAGAAAACAAAGTTACAAAATTATCAAATGCATCCCAAAAAGTTGATATGTTCCCCAGAAGCTCGGCTATATATGTACTATTCATTCAGAAAAGGAGTCCACCTAGGTTATGAGCAAGTACAGAAAAGCTAGACAGACTTAAAACTGTAAGAGGTGATAAAAAAGTCAAACAAAAATATATTCCCTAACTAGACAAGGACTAAACTGTGAGCAAGTCTACATTAACTACTAAAAAGAATATGCAATAATAGTGGATTGATGGCCCTCCAAAAGGGATAACTTTCATAAGCTTCCCCAAACAATCTGGTCTTAGCAAAGGTATTTGCAATTAGCAACAGGAAATAATGACAGCAGGCAACTAATCAGTACCACTATTTTCCATGTTAAGATGAGACTAGCTCATCTATTAATGTATTGAGAAATACGACTCATACTAATCCTGGGAAATAATACTCCTAGTTTTGTGCATCATATTGGCATTATGATATAGATGACACCACAATTTTTTATAAACTAGTTCCCACATCTGATAATAGATAACTACTGAAAATATACTAACCTCCCACATACGAAGAGCATCATTAAAAGATAACTCCCGACGGAAGAGTACCAGTAACATTCGAAATGCAAAATGAAGGCTTTCAGCACCTATATTTGACAGATGTGAAAACATTTCCCTGTCTGTGAGTTCCAGAATATGCCACAATGCTTGCAACTGCTTCATAACTCCAGTTGGACCTTCCATTTGAAAATTTTCACGCTGCAGAGATGTGAAAAGTATATGTAACTAAAAGATCATATAATTGTCTATCTAAATATATTTAACAAGATTGGAATTACCGTTCTCCTAAGAAGCATCTCAAAGCACCAAAATGCATCAGCATTGTCCTCAAAGAGAACAACAAAAGGAGATAGCAAGTCACTCATACCTATAATCAGAATTTTAATCAGTACAAAATATAAATTTTTTAAGTGTAAAAATTAATCCTCCAAAGCTTGAATAAGAGAAATAGCAATCATGTGGCTCATGAGGATCAATTAAAGACCTCGGATAAAATTAAGGACTACAACCTTGACAATAACCAGTGGCAGGATCAACCCAAGCATAAACAGCAAGGATGTCAGACATCCTAGCTAAATTTCTTGTATCCTCATAGAATTCAAGATGACTATCTGTTCTTACCACATCAACGACTGAAAAAGAAAAAAAAATCTTGTGAGTTGTTGGCAAATTTGACATAAACAGAAGCCTTTACAAAAAAATATAATAGAAAAACCAAAACTAAGTAAACCAAAACTAAGTACCTATCCTATGCAAAGTCCAAAGCCATTCAGAAACCCTGTCTCCACTGACAGCCGCTCCTTGTAATGTGGTTGCATTCATCAATGGCGTGTCTGGAACATCTGATATTCTCAACTTGTTAACTATTTCTGTTTCAAAATCCAGATTTTTGGACCACAATTCTGGTTTATGGGAACCAGAACAAGCCATTTCAATTTCTGAATTCATGGGGTGTGAAATGTTGTTAGATGGTGAACCATTTGATTCCATGATTAATTCTGCATTATTACTAATTTGAAAACTGTGCATTCTGTCATCCTCAAATCTCAATTGTTGCGTAGATGGTTCATCTTCACACACACCATATTCTTCATCATTGTTTCCACTCGTCTCAAA